AAGTATCACTGGCCTCCGCCAGTCTCTCTCCCACTCTACGATCTACCACCTACCAGCGCCCAGCGCTGAAGACTACAGCTACAGCTATGGCGCCCAGCGCTGAAGACTACAGCTAGTGCTAACTACAGCCTAGCGTTGAAGACTACTGCAACGCTCCTCCTGAGTGCTGCGGGCGAATCCTGAAGACTACCCGTGCCTATTGACACTACCTACCCGTGAAGTGCATGGGAACTTCCTATGTACTACGGGTGTGCCTCCTGAGCCTGCCGAAGTGAGGCAGGGGCTGCAGCTGCAGCTCCTGCTCGAACTCGYGAGGAACAGGCTATTTCTGGCCTGTTCCGCATCCCTGTTTACGTGCCTGAGTCTTAGGGGCAGGTCGAAACAATGAGGGCCTGAAAATGGCCCTCCGTTTCAGGCTGAAAACTCTGGGTCTGAAAAGACCCAGAAATAGGCTGAAACGGGGTAGGGCCTGCAGGCCCTCGTTTTTCAGCTTTCAGGCTGAAACGAACGGGGCCTGTAAGCCCTCAGTTTTAGGTTTTTAGGCTGAATGTCCGAGACGGGCCCTGCAGGGCCCGTGTGGCTACGCAGTATGCCACACTGAGGGTCTGCTCGAGCTGAGAGTTCTCTGGACTCCAGCGTGCTATCGCTCCAGTACGTGTGTGCGCTACCTTCTTGCGTACTCCCCCCCTTCGTTCATTTCTAGAACGTGACCAATTGCGCTCCCGGTCGGACGCACTCGGTGGTTAGCTGCAACGCTCTTTCTCTTTCTCTCCCTCTCTCTCTCTCTCTTTCTCTCTCTCCTTGTCTCTCTCCCTCTCTCTATCCCCCTCTCTCTCTCTCTCACACGCTCGTTTGTTTTGCTCACTGATCCGCGTGTTTTTTTTCCAATGTCGCCACCCCCCCTCTCTATCGCCGCTAGTGTTGTGCGTTCTCCCTCGTCTCACCCGCGTGTACCCACCATGTGCTTCTCGACGGCGGCTACACCCGCCCTTGTTTTCTCCTTCCTCGTACGTTGTGTGTCGTTCTCCTCTCGTCCTCCCCGCGCTCTTCACTTATGCACTGCTCTCTGCCCGTCGCCACGCTTGAGCGTGTCGCCATCTGACACGCATCCGAGTGCCCGAGCGCCTTCGGGAGCGTGTGACCCTCTACTGCCTATCCCTCTGCTGCTATGTGACACCCGCGGCCTAGGCCGCGGGCATTTCCACCACTGCGGCCGAAAAAGTCGGCCGCGGCCGCAGCCCATGAGGCCCAGTTCGCAGCCTGTTTTTTTAATAATTTTTTTTTACTACTAAAAATACGTTAAAAATATATAGAGAGAGAGGTGTCGGGCTTGGAAAACCCTATAATACTATGTTTTTTATTTTGGAATCGGACTCCGTTTAAGATTTTTAAAAACTGAAAAACAAAATTCAATTTAAACAAAATATTTAAAAAAAATAAAAAGAAAAGCAGGATTTTTTTTTTTGTCATTTAGGTGTTAAAAAAAAAAAAAAGATGCAAAAATTGAAAACAAATAAACAAAAAAAAGGTTTGATTGATTGATTGATTGATTAATTGTGTGTGTGTGTGTGTGTGTGTGTGTGTGTGTGTGTGTGTGTGTGTGTGTGTGTGCGGGTGTGTGTGTGTTGGGGAGGGGAGGGAGGACCCCTCCCCCACCAATCAGTTAATCAATCATCCAATCATTCAATCAATCAATCAATCAATCAATCAATCAATCAATCAATCAATCAATGATTTTTTTCTTTTCCTATTTTTCCATTTTTTTTTGTTACACATAAAAAAACACCCCCCAAGTTTTTGATATATATATATATATATATATATATATATATATATATATATATATTGAACAGGCCGACAGCAGCCAACGTGCGCAGGCCACGCGCGCGCACTGTTTTCCCGAGTGCGCCTTCGCCTGGCTGTGACGCAGCCGGCCAGCCGCAAAAAAACTCAGTCAAGCGGCCTAGGTCGCGGCCCCGCGGCCGGCCTCCTCGGCCGCGGCCGAGTCGGAGGCGGCCACGGCTCAGGGGGACACATAGCTCTGCTGTGCGTACGTGCACTCCCTCTTGTCCGAGCACCTCGAACGCCCTCGAGTCCCCCCCTTTGTTCCCCTCGCCTTTCACCTCCCTCTCCCTTCTCTTTATACTCTTTGTTCTACCTCGGCTCCTCCTTTCATCGATCTTTTCCCCTGTCGTTCCTGCCAATCACATTACTGGTCCCGATGACACTTCCCAACTCGTAATTTTCCGCTGATCATCACAAATTTTTCAATCTCCTGCCTATTCCTCTACTCGTTTCCTTCTTGCCTCGTGATCTGCCCTTCCCCCTGTCTCGGCCAATCGGAGCGCCTTCGCCCTTCTGCCCGATCTACCAATGTTCCCGCCATCGTTCTTGTCGAAGTGCGAGCTGGCTCCTTCCGATTCTTGGTATGCCACGAGCTCCTATCGGTCCCAGCTATATACCGTCGGCACTTGCCCCATTTTCTGGCCTCGGTGCATGCCAGATTTGCGTCAGGACCTGCTCGATCCTTACGAAGCTTCCCTTCTCTTCATCAACAGTTATCAAGAACTGCTCGAGCCCGCATTTTCCACCAACCGCTTAGCGGCGCCCAAGTTTTCTAGCCAACGTCCGTCCATCTCGTTGGCCCCTCTTCCCTCTTTTTCCTTCCCTCTACTTGATCGATCTTACCACCTTTCCATCTGCCAATCCCATCTTCCCCGCGCTCCTCAGTTGGATTACCCCTGCCCGATCTCCCCCGCCTTCTTTTCAAGCAGGTGTTTTAGTCAACCTCTTACATGCCATTTTTGTCCCTCAGCAGTTAAGGCTATAAGACCAGTCCCTACTATGCGACCTCGTCATGCAGCCCGGCCTGTTCCCCTCTCCCCTTTTTCTTATATTGGTGAGGATCC